AGGCATAGAGGGAAGGGAAGGGCATTGCAGGCTGAGGGAACAGCTGGTACAAAGTCACAGGGCCTGAGAGAGCGTGGAATTCAGTGGGACGGGAGTGCTGGACAGGTGGGCCTTTATGGAGAAGAAATGGAACGGTTCTAGCGAAGAACCTAAGACCGGAAGGAGCAGGCACAGGCCCATAGGTCCAAAGAGCGGGCAGCTTTCTAGTTTCTCAGAAGAATGTAGGGCAACAGGTCTGAGAGAGACAGACAGACAGAGACAGAAAATGGGCCAGCAGCCCCCTGTACCATTCCCTGCCCTCAGAGCCCATCTAGGAAGTGGGTTTGAAAGTTGTCCAAGTGAACAGATTAGGTCATCATGAGGCGAGGTGTTGGCTGAGTGACTGAGCTGCACCCACATGGGTCCTCCGGCAGCCAGAGGAATTAGCTCATGGCTGGCACAGCCCTTCCCTCCCACAGCCACCGTGGTCTGGAGCGAGCCAGGCAGCCTGCTTGAACAGCAGCCGCTGCGTGCAGAAAGGCATGTCCCCACTGCAAAAAAGGCCCACATGCCCCGGGGCTGGTCCCTTGCAGGGGGTGGGGTGGACTGCCTGGTGGGCCTCACCTGGGCCTGGGGGGACTATGGTCTGACCTTGTTTTTCTGGCTGCCCCAGGTCCCAGGCCTGGCTTTCCTTCTCAGCCTCTGGCATATGCAAAGCCGAGTGAGAGAAAGTGTGTAGGAAGGACTTAGGTTAAGCGTAAAGAAAGCCTGACTGTCCAGGCATTAGAGGGTCCCTCCTCCAGAGCCCACACCCTGGAAGTTCCTAGTTTGTCCAGATAAGTGGAAGCCCCCACTGCCCTTCGGCCCAGGAAGCTGGCCAGCGCTCCTCTGCCCCCTGCACCTGGCTGGCACCTCTCCTGCAGCTCAGACTGGGTCCAACTCAGTCATGCCTGGCCTGGCCTGCATGGGTGACATTCTAGCTGGGAGGGAGGGGGAAACCCCACTGAGCCCTGGGGCACTGGGACATCCAGAGAGGCAGTGTTCCCTGGTTCAGTGACCAGGAGGACAGATTTGGTTTCAGCAAATCCCGGGAGTGCTGGGGGCAATAGGAGGCAGTCAAGGACTTGGTCCCTGCAGGCTGCACGTGACCACACCTCCTAAAGGGCTGAGTCCCTGGTCTACCACACGTGCCGTGACGATAGTAATAATCCTCAGGTGGATACCGCTCTTTACAGTTTGCAGAGAGCTTTCACAGGTGAGTCCAGCTGATTCTCAGAGCATACTTTCGAGGCAGATGGGGAGGGGGGCACCAGTGCACAGATTAGGAAGCTGAGGCCAAGAGGAGAGGGCTGATTCCAGGGGCTTGCATCCCACCCCAGTCCTTGCTCTCACCTCATGGCTAACACAGTCAAACCTGGGTCACCTGGGTCACCTGGGGCCCCAGGCCATGAGCTGGGGTGTTTATTAGTAAAATGTGAGCAGGAAGGGAAGGGAGTGGATATATTGTGGTGATTTTGTAAACTGGGCTCTTTTTCCTCTTCGCTATGGCAGACCTCGTCTGGCATGATGAAAATGCAATCGAGACCTGAAAATCGGGTGGGAGGGGGGAGGTGGTGTCCACCGACTTCATGTCAGTTGGCTTTCAAGGAAGGACGGAAGGGTGCGGAGATGGGCTCAGGTCAGGGGCCACCAGGATGACTGCTCAGGGCAGCCCGAAGGGGCCATCTGGGGCTATGACTGATGTGGCACGGATAGGTCTTATCATCTTAAGGATAATATTTTTTAAATTAAATTTATTGGGGTGACATTGGTTAATAAAATTGTAAAGGTTAAGAATAATACTTTTTAAAGTGTCACTTTAGAGGTATACTTTTTTGAAGTATACCACTCACCAGGTTAAGGGCTCGCTATTTGCTACTTTAATCCTCACAATGATGGATGAAGCCCACGGTATTACCCCAGGGTCTGCTTCATGAGCGAGGGACCTAGGCAGTCCCGCAGGGCCCTGCGCCCGGGTTAACGCTCTGCTGTTGCCATCTTAAAAGTCTTCGTTCTTTTTAAAAGGAGCCCTGCATTCTCATTTTGCACCGAGTCGGGCAAATTCCATAGCTGGTCCTGGTGACCCCCACTTCTCAAAAGAGGATGCAGAAGCAGCGTGTTCATAACACAATATGCCCACGATCAGAGAGTTGGCTGCCCTGGAGTCTGACCCGAAGGCCCACACCCTCTGGAGTAGAAAGAGGCTGATTAGAGTCTGAAGACTGTGCCTAAGTCCCACTCCTGCCACCTGCCTGGGGCCAGGGGCGGGCCCTTCAGCCCTCCCAGCTGTGAAATGGGGTGATCCCTCCTGCTGCTCGGGGCTACTGGGAGGAGCAGTGGTGTGCACAGGGGTGCTTTTACACACTCCCTAAGGCTCAGCGGATTGAAGGATCATCATTAGCTGACTCACAGTGTGCTGGTGCTCCTGTTAATGCCCCAAGTTGCCCTGACGTTGTCTTCACAGGCCTTCTCTGAATTGATTCAGAAACTGATAATTAACATAACCTCCCCCTTCCCAAGGAGGCAGCCTCATAAAGTCATCCAGTCATAACTCGCCCACCCCAAAGGGAGACCCTTCCCTAACAGGTTCTCCCTCCGCTGTAGATGCCCTGCTGTCTTCCATGGGTGTGTAGCTGGGGGAGACGGAGGGGACGTGAGCCTTCCCATTAGTTTCATCTGCTCATGGTTGCCTGCAACTAGATCCTCTCCAAAAAGCATTGCTGGGAATAATCAGAGCTCCTGTGTCAGTGGGAAGAAGCCTTTCTGGGGTGAAGCCGCCCCAAGGCACACTCAAAACAGATTCTGGCATCTCAGCAAAGAGGTAGACGGCGCCTGGGAGTGGCCCCAGAAAGCGACTAATTGGTCTTTACTAGAAGAGATTCTAAAGACGCCTGTGTGACCACGTGACTGCACAGAAAGACACCCATGAGAACACCCCACCTAAGCCTACAGAATACATGGACCAACCTTAGTTCTGCCAATGCCCCAAACCCAGGAGGTTGGTATTATGGCCCCATTTTACAGGCAAGGAAACGGAGGCTCAGCTAGCCTGACAGCACCCTCAGCTAAGGCAGTCTGATTCCACATCTGGTGTTTCTATCTAGGAACCCCGGCCTCACTCAGACCCCTTGGGGAGCTTTAATATACCCGGAGTTCCACTCCAGATTAACTGAGTTACCACCCCCAGGAGTGCGGCCTGGCAATGCACCATTTGTGGAAATTCCTCAGGGGATCCCCACCTGCGTGGTTGGAGGTGAGATCCAGGTTTCTCTGCCATCAATTAGGGTGGAATAGTTCTCTTTGTTCCTCAGGGGTGCCCCAAAGCAGGGGCAGCAGAGCATGGGAAAGGGGCAGCCAGTCTTCCTCTGGGCAGGTTACAGCACAGGTGGGAATTGTAGAAACACCTGGAACAGACAGCAAGCTCTGCTCTTCTTTTTTTTTAATATATATTTTTTATTGATTAAGATATTACATATGTGTCCTTATCCCCACGCTATCCCCTACCCCCCTCCCCGCCCCCCGCTCATGCCCTCTTGAGCACCTCCGTGCCCACGTGGGAGAGAAGCCGCACAGCCTCCCTGAGTGGCCCCGCCTGTGTTTTGATTTTGCTCCCCTCCAATTCTGCCTCGTCCTATGCCTGCCCACCATCACCCAGTGCCCAGTCCCCTCACCCCAGACAAGCAAGCACACTCTCAGTTCCAGTTTTATTTTCCTTGCAGAGACCTTTTAAAAGGCACCTACAAGTCAATAAAAGTCTCTTCCTCCCTCCTCCCCCCGCTTCCACACTAAGCAAGCACACTCTCAGTTCCAGTTTTATTTTCCTTGAAGAGACCTTTTAAGGCACCTACAAGTCAATAAAAGTCTCTTCCTCCCCCCTCCCCCCCCTTCCACACCAAGGTGGTACCCTCTCCAGGCTTCCCTCCATAGTCTGAGTCAAATGGTCCTGCTCTGATAGAGCCTGTGGGTGCAGAGACGTGGTGGGAGGGGCAAGGTCTAACTCCAGGTCACTTCTCTACCCTGTGCCCTGATATTATGGGGCGAGCACCTTGGCTCAACCTTCTCCCCAGAGGTGGGGAGGCCAAGTCAGATGAGGGAGCTGGAGCCCTTGCCCAGGAGGCACTGCTGTGTGGGCAGGACCGTGATAACCATCTTCCCAGAACGGTGAGTCACCCTGAATTCGTGGCTCTTCCTGGGCTGCAGGTCTATTTGCTTCCTCCTCTGAAGAGTGAAGTAGGTGTTGTTTTGGGAGGAAGCAGCTGAGAGTGGCTGTAGGACTGGCCTTGAAGAGCTGGTGCCTGAGGACAGGTGCTGTGGTGGGTGGGGTGGGCGGGGTCAGTGGTTCCTGGACCCAATGGCACACCTGTGTCTGCGTCTGCGTCTGGACCCTCATGCAGCTGCTCATGGAGACCTGAACCCTCAGAATCCAACCACCTGCCCCTGTCCTGGCTAATTGCTGGGAGCTCTTCGGTGAGTCATTTAACCCCTGAGAGACTCAGGTGTCTCACATGTAAAATGGGGACAAAAGCAAGGAATCACAGACTTGCAGTGAGGACGATGAAGTAACAGAGGCGCAGTCACTTCGTAAATCGTGAAACCCTGTACAAAGTATTGACTTATTATGTACTCCTCTGCACCAGGTTAAGGTATTAAAGTCGCCTCATGTCCCTCTTCGGTGAGTCATTTAACCCCTGAGAGACTCAGGTATCTCACATGTAAAATGGGACAAAAGCAAGGAATCACAGACTTGCAGTAAGGATGATGAAGTAACAGAGGTGCAGTCACTTCATAAATCATGAAACCCTGTACAAAGTATTGACTTATTATGAACTCCTCTGCACCAGGTTAAGGCATTAAAATCGCCTCATGTCTAGTCCTGAAGTCGCAATTAGCAGCCTTGTCACTGAACCTGTCAGTGTCCCCTGCCTAGGAGCGCGCAGGCCCTGCTCACAGCCTTTACTGACATTGTTCACATCCTTCCTCAGGGCCTCCCTGGACTGGCCAGCAGCTTCTCGCCACCTGCCCTTCCCCACAAGGAGGGAGCTGCTTCCCCGCCCATCTCTGATCCGCCTGCATCTCCGGGACTGATAGATCTTCTTGGCAAAGCTGCCCCAAAGATTCCTGCTAACGCCTGTCTGTTCCTGCCTTGTGTGGAGCGGGCGCCCACGGGACTCCGGAGAGAATCTTAAACCCAAAGCTCTACCGTTGCTCTGGACGGCACCCTGTGCGCTCCTGCCTAGTCCCTCTCGGCTCCGGGAGCTGCTCACACCCCAGCGATGCCCACGGGAGCCTTGGCCCCAGCTGGGTGAGACCATTCCAGAGTGGGCCCCAACCTTACCAGCCTCCAGGACTCCCTCATCACCTCCACCACCTCCCATGTCCGACCGCCCAGCAGGCTCTAGGATGTCTGTGCCCCAGATCCAGGTGGAAGAAGTGGTGGTGGGGGAAGAGGTGCTGGCGGGAGCAGCCCCGCCTCCTGACGACCACCTCCGGAGCCTGAAGGCCCTGACTGAGAAACTGAGGCTGGAGACCCGCAGGCCCTCCTACCTGGAATGGCAGGCGAGGCTGGAGGAGCAGGCCTGGCCCTTCCCCAGGCCGGCTGCTGAGCAGCGGGAGTGTGGGGAGGAAGAGCCCTCCCTGCCGCCGAGAGAGCCCAGGCGGCACCCGCCACCTAATGCCAGTGCCAGCCAGGATGCCGGGACCGGGTCCACGGGCAAGCTGGAAGGCTTTGAGAATATCGACGAGGCCATAGCCTGGCTCAGGAAGGAACTGGTAAGTGGCTGCCCCTGCAAGGATCCCAAGATGCCATTCTCTGTGTGTGTGTCTATCTCTATCTCTGTCCCCCTCTCTCTGTTTCTGACCCATCTCTACCTCTCCCAAGTGCACATCTGTCATTTCCTATTAAATCAAAGGTAAGCTTTATTGCCATGTAGTTACACGACATCCATGCATCAATAAGCCCCTGATCACAGGTACTTATGAAGCAAGTGTTGCCCATGAGAACCTGAGCCCATGAAGGTGTCCTCCGCCTTCCCCAGTGCCACTCCTGACGTTAGTCTATGTAGGCAGAGCCTGTTTGGTTGTCCTGCACAATCCCAAAAAACACATCCCCACTGGGGCCTGGAATCCCCCATGAGTTGAAATAACCGTGGCTGGGGCCGGGGGTGTTCTTTTTTTTTGGTTTTAATTTTGGATATTGAGACTGCTTCTTAAAACGCGCCATTCCTCTATGTCAGCGGTTCTCAACCTTTCACAGGGGTCGCCTAAGACCATCCTGCATATCAGATATTTACATTACGATTCATAACAGTAGCAACATTACAGTTATGAAGTAGCAACGAAAATAATTTTATGGTTGGGTCACAACATGAGGAACTGTATTTAAAGGGCCAGAAAGTTGAGAACCACTGCTCTATGTCTTTAGTAACTGGGATATAAGTTGATTTGCATAAAAGATGGGGCATCTGTGGGTTCTTTGTGTCACTGGGTGCTCAAGGGGGTACAGGAGGGGAGGGGAGATGGACCCACGGTGGCCAGGGCAGACCCTGGAAGTTGCCCTTTCAATTCCTGAGGCTGACCTGCTTTCATTTGTTTTCATAAAGAGGAACAAAAAATTATTTCCATTAATCAAGGACTCAATTTGTTGGGTTAGGGTTCATTTGAGGTTCTATTGCTTTGGGGAGCAGAGGCTTTTACTTTCTAAGTGAGCATTCTCCATTGGCTCCCTTTGGGGTGGAGAGCAGAAACGGAATTCCCTGTGTGTAAACCAGTAGGGAGTTCTCTAGAGCTTGTCCTCGTCCTGTAGCATCAGAGAGAGGTGCCTCTCAACCCAGGCTGCATATTAGAATCCCCACAGAAACCTGGAAACCTCCCAAATCCTAGACCACATCCCAGACCAATCAAATGAACACCTTGGGGGGAGGGGGGTTAAGGACCCAGGAATCAGTGGTTCTTAAAGCTCCCAGGTACTTCACAAGCACAACCTAGGGCAGTGATGGCGAACCTTTTGAGCTCGGCGTGTCAGCATTTTGAAAAACCCTAACTTAACTCTGGTGCCGTGTCACATATAGAAATTTTTTGATATTTGCAACCACAGTAAAACAAAGACTTATATTTTTGATATTTATTTTATATATTTAAATGCCATTTAACAATAAAAAATCAACCAAAAAAAGAGTTCGTGTGTCACCTCTGACACGCGTGTCATTGGTTCGCCATCACTGACCTAGGGGGTGAACCATTGCCACAGGCCCACGGGCCATGCTCATATTTGTTGCCAAGCCATTGCAAGCCAAGCAGAACAAGTTGTCTGGCCAGAGTATGCTAGCAGAGAGGAGGAAGGTGAGCCAGGTCGAGGACAACCGTCGGTAATGGACAGAATAATCCTCCATAGGTGGAGGGAGGAACATTAACTGTTAGGACTATCTTGGCTGTCAAAGGCTGTGTTGGGTGCAAGTTCCTCAGCCAGGGAATTGACCCCTCTGGGAGCAGGAAATTGGAAGAACAGATGAGTGACAGTAGGTAAGTGGGACATGCTTTATTATGAGCAAAGCAGCCAGCAACTGGCTGGTCAGTGGCAGCTTATATACACCCTCAAACAAAAGAGGCCTCGTGCCAATTAGTGATGCTCACTTGCTCGTGCTACATTAACATAAACAGGTTATCTAAGAATGCATGGGTGTGGGGGCAAAAGGAGAAACAAGATTGGAGGGAGTCCCAGCCCTCACTCCATTACCTCTTTGATTCTTACAACAGGCCTGTGTGATTACAGTGATTGTGCCCCTTTTACAGATGCGTAAACCAAGGCTCATAGAAGTCAGACGACCTGCCTAGAACCATATGATTAGTAGGTGGCAGAGCCAGAGCTTGAACTCAGCCTTCCCCACTGGGAGTAGAGCACTTTGGGGAGAGAGAGCCAGGAGAGAAGCTGGAGAGATAGCCCTCCTGCAGAGGGCTCTGCTCAGACATGCCACCCTGGCTGCAGGGTAGAGAATCGCTTAGAGCAGCAACTCAGACTCTAATGTGCATACAGGTCACTAGGGTCTCTTGTTCAAATGAAGATTCTGATCCTAAAGATCTGAGATGGGATCCATGATTCTGAATTGCCACCAAGCTCAAAGGTGATGCTACCTTGCTGGTCCACAGACCACATTTTGAGAATCAGGACTGATAGGCAGACAAGACTGGGGCTAAGGGACTAAGAAGGTACCTCAGAGGGAAGCCCGGGAATCCCCAAGCCTGTACCCTGCGCCCTGTCCCTTTTGGCGTGGGGCTCGGCCAGTGAATGGGCTTCTGGGAACTATTCACAGCATCCTGCACTGAGGGTCCAAGAACCCAGTTCTTTCAGAAGAGGGTATGTCTAAGGTCAAAAGCAACCCAAACACCAAAGGGCAGGCAGGCCAACTCGAATGCATGCAATTCTGCTCTTTTAGGAGATTAAACAGTAACAAGGCAACTCATAAAATCCTGATTGATTTAAAAACAAGATTTCAACATTTGAATAATAAACCCATTCTTCTGTTTTTAAGTCTCAGTCAAAACATTAAACTCCATGTCATTGTTTTTTCTAATTTATCATCTGTTAACTCATTCAAGGTATTACTTCAAATTACCAATTTGTTTTTAACTCAATGAAAGTAGTTTCAGATCACTTTTAAGCCCAGAATCAAGTGTTCTCTCCACCTGAGCAAGCGGCTTTTCCACCCCCTGCCTCCTGCAAGTCCAGCTCAGAGACACACAGTGACTGCCTGGATCTTGACTTGTTTCCAGGGCTTTAAAGGCTCCCAACTGCTCCCTCAGGGGTCTCCTTTCCCTCTCACTTTCCACCAAAGGAAATGACAGTCACTCTTGACTGCCCCCAGGGACTTTCAAGTAGAATGGGTGTATGTTTTTTTTTTCAAGCTCCTGTGTTGGGAGGTACAAGGAAGGTGCTGGTCATCAAGGTGTAGCTATTGGCATTGCCCCTCCAGGTAGGAAGACCTGAGTATTCAGACAGGGCTGCCGCCTCTACCCTAGGTGGCTTTAGGCCACCTGGCTCCTCCAGGCCGACATCCAGCTCTGCTGTTCATGGGAGACAGACTCAGAACCTGGTTATGTGGCCATTGTGCTACTCTGATGTTTCCAGACTGCTCACCTGGCCAGAAGGTCGCAGCCTTCAGCTTCCCACCTTCGGTCAAGTGGCCTGGGCTGGGGTGGGGGCAATGTTCCAGGAAAGGGAAGCTAGAGAGGGCACGACCCTGAAGCTGTGGGACTGAGCCCTCTGGTCGAATTCAGAAAATATCACAAATGCATCTGAGTGTGTGTGATTTCAGAGCTAGCAGCCAGGGCGGGGGAGGGGGAGGAGGGGGGTAAGC